ACGTCCGGCCTGGGGCCTTCAGCTACTGCCACCCCAGCCAACACCTGAAGGCAGGCAGGAATGGCCCAGATGAGCCCTTTCCGAGTTCCTGACCCACAAACCATGAACAAAATAAAAGTGCTTTGCTGTTACCTCTTGCTTCACCTTGCATACAGTGGCGACAAGCAATGGCTGGTCTTTTTACCATCAGTAATACCAACGAGCATTACCGAGCGAGGGTTAGCAGATTGCACCTGGATGAGATTCGGGGCACTCTGAATCTCAGACCTCAGGACTGAGGTCGCCTGCCCTTCCAGGTCCCTTTAGCGGGCTGTGGAGGCACAGGGTAAGTGGTCTTTGGCGGTCCCAGATTTACCATCGCACACAAAGGATGGCCTAGCTTGCAGCCCCTTCCCAGCCAGGCCCAGGGAAGCCCGGGAATACTCTGTTACGTAGCAGTAGTCATCAGGACACACTCATTACCTCCTTCCACCCATGCAACAGCCCTGGAGGCAGGTTCTGTAATCATCCCCCATTTTACAGATGAGGAAGTAGAGGCTGGGCAGAGTTGGGGGAGCCCAACTCTGGAGCTTTCCGCCAGTGGGTCCTGCTCCTCTGGGTGCTGATTCACCTTTGCATCCTCAAGACCTGCCGTAGCGTGAGCACTTAATAAATATGTGTTCCCTGAATAACAAATGGACAGATCAAACACTGGAGAAATAAATGAATCTCCAGTCCTCAGTTTCTCCTTCTGCAAAACTAGAAGAGATGTTGTCTCCCATAGCCCCTTCTGTCTCTAGAATGCCATGTTCTCGGAGCAACTGCCCCCCCGGCCCCGGCCCCGGAACCACCCTGTCACTGTGCCATTCCAGCTGGCTTCCAGAGAGCGTCAGAATGTGACCCCTACTCTAGATTCGTAGATCCCTGCCCACTTCTACCCTGACCCAACCCAGAAAACCCTTCTTCCCAACACAAATCCCACTCTTCCCACAAGGCCCAGCTCCGACCCTCTCCGACCCTCCTTCCTCCATTGCCCCTCCCCCATCACCCCCACCCCCGCCCCCAGTGACCCAGGCCTTGGCCCTCAGCACCCTTGACTCTTAGAAAGTTCACAGCTTGCCTGAACACATCTTAAAGACTGAAGCCAAGGTCAAAAAAGCAACGTTCCCCGGAAAACCAGGGCCTAGGTCATTTCAAACAGCAGGAAGGCTCCCATGCCTTTCTTGTTAGGATGAGCATTTAGGGGTATTTCCCAAATTTCTGTCATTTGCGTATCACCTTGACAGGTTCACCAAACCTTTATACCAGTTCTACTGTTATTTAATATCTTCCTTTAAATAATCAGCCTTACTTCTCCCCCTCCCTCCCTCCCTCTCTCCTTCCTCCTTTAGAACTTAGTCTCATTCCAAGCAATACCATCTATAAAATCAGCCTGATGTGCCCATGTATGTACACATTCTAAAATCATCCCATCTGTCACCAGGGTAGAGGTCCTGCAATTTGGGAAATACTGTTTTTTTAGGGTAACAAGTTTTCTTAAGCCGCAGATTAACCTTTCGAAATAACCTTGGCACTTATTCTAATCTGTCAGCTAGAGATGGGATTTTAAAATAATTTTATCTTCTTCCTCGTGCTTTTTCCACAGCTCGCCCATTTTTATAATAAGCGGTTCTTGCTTCTGTAACCAGAGCCCATAAATGAACGGTGGAAAAATAACTAAGACACCATCTGCATTTTCCAAACGCAGACCGCGGGGCGGAGAGATAGCAGGGTGAGTGCCCAGACATTGGCCAAGCGAATCCAGACGTTACTGATGTGGGCTAACTGCGAGTCCGTGTCCGGCCCTCTCCTCTTCTTCCAACTGTTGGAATTAGAGGAAATGTCATTCCTCCTGCTTATTCCCCCCGCGGGGCCAGCTGTCACCGGGTGTGTGGGGGACAGGAAACAGGATTGCAAGACGAACAGGGAGACTGCCATTCCAGCCTGGCTGTTATCACGGCCGACTCTGGACAGCCACCTTCCCTACTTGTCACTAGGATTGGGACCACAGCCCAGAATAAATGTCGAACCAGGGCAAAACTGGGAGTACCTGGGAGTCTTCCCCCAAATCAGATACATTGTTATTGAGCATGGACTAGGAACCAGGCACCCTACAGACATTTTCTCATATAATTCTTAAAAGAATCCTGGAAAGTGGAAGCTATCATTTACGCCCATTTTACAGGTGGAGATACTGAGGCTCTGGGAGGTTAAGTCACTTGCCCGAGGTCACATGCTGACAAATGCAGAAGCAAGGATGGAAGCCAGGTTCGTCTGAGTCCCATAGCCTTCTACTGGAGCCACTCTGCCCTACTCCGTCTCCTTCCCAGGGGCCGTGTGCACAGGACTGGGCAGATGACCCTGTTCACTCTCCCAGCCTGGTCAGTGCTTAGTTCAGCCCTCTGGCTCCCCAACCCAACTCCTAACATGGCCACAAAGACACACGTGGTTCTTAGGCTGCAGGTTTTAACCGTATATGTCAATTACATAGTGCCTACTAAATACCCACCACCCTTTCCCGCCTTTTTCCTGCAAGTGCCTACCCTAAGAGGACACCTAGATGACCCCTCAGCCAATCTGCACTAACGGGGGGATGATCGGGACAGCCAATTCAGACCAAAGTAGAGTCATCCACCTAAATACCTAACCGGCTGTGTTTAAAACTTTAGGGGAGAGTCCCCGGGGTGATCGACATTTCATCTCTCAGACACCTGCACTCCCCACCTGACTCTCCTCCGTGTCTATCATTCTATCCCATCAGCTCCCAAAGTGCAGGGCCCGGGCCTGACATAGGAAAGCAGTGAGGAGGGGGCCTGGGGATAGACATCCACAATCTGTGGCCAGGGAACGCTTCTTGGAAGAAAGGACAACTCCAAGGACACCTAGTGATGGGCAGGAGATGGCCGAGTGAGGAGGAGGGGAGAAAGCCTGAGGCAGACCAGACCTGCTGTTCCAAGGGCCAAAAAAGGTGGGAAGGATACAGGCGTGGAGCATCCCCTTCAGCATGACGGAGACAGAGAGGGGGCACTGGTGGGGGGCAAAGCGAGGGGGAGTGGCCGGGTCAGACGAGAAGGGCACGGCCCACCACGGGAAGGAGCCTGGACCTTATACTGAGGGCAACCAGACTTGGTGACTGGTTACACGTGAAGGGGCGATTTAAAACACCTCAAATCCATGATCTCACCTGTTCTTGACTTTGTGGAAAGGAAGGAAGACCCCTGGTTTGCAGGCTGGAACGGGGTGGCTTGCTTCCAGTCCCTACATGCACGGCCTCGACCCTCACCCACAGGAGGATGGAGGTGAGACTCTGTCAAAGCCTAAAATCCCTTAGTGACAACTAGCAGTCAGGACGACAGGGGAGCGTGACCACTGCAGCAACTTCAGCCCGGTACTCTGAGCCCAGGGCTGCAAACAGGCTGACCCCTCCCCGCCCACCAGCTTTCTGTGACACCTGTTGTCAACTTTCCCACTGAACTTGGACTCAGTCCAACTCCAACTTCAAAATGCAGACATTCGAAAAGTCAATTGTTATTTTTTTTAACAATAATAATTTAAGAACTTGGTTCTTTTAGCCACAAAAAGCATCTTATTAATCTGTGATGGGAGGGGAAACCGATTCTAAATGCTGAAATTCATATGAGTGGGGCTGAGATGTGCACACCTGAAGGTCACAGTGTATTTCTTTTTTAAAAGCATGCAAAATTTAGGATGCCTGGGTGGCTCAGTCGGTTGAGCGTCTGCCTTCGGCTCAGGTCATGATCCCGGCGTCCTGGGATCGAGTCCAGTATTGGGCTCCTTGCTCAGCGAGGAGCCTGCTTCTCCCTCTGCCTGCCCCTCCCCCTGCTTGTGCCCTTTCTCTCTCTCTCTGACAAATAAATAAATAAAATCTTTTTTTCAAAAAAAAAGTGCTTTTAAAAAAAATAATGATAAATAAAAGCACGCAAACTTAGATCGGGGAAGCCCGCTCGCTAAAAACAATTTCCATGGCATGAATTTCCAAACCAGTGTGAAAAGGACAACACTGTGGCTTTTCTCTGTTCCTCTCTTAGATCCCTTATTTTTCTTTGAATGCGTATGTCTGTCCACCTCCCTGACTCACCCCTCTCCTGTCTTCCAGAAAGGATAAGGAAAACCTTCCTATGTGATCTCATTTTATTTTGAAACACTAAACCCACCAAAAGGGGGGGGTGACGGGGAACCCTTTCTTGGTCAAAGGAATCAAGATGTATTTCTAATTCTCTTGCCATATGGTAAGTTATTTTGGAAGCATATCAAGAGGTAGAGAGAATGTTTGACAAAATTGGCAATACTCATACAATCCTTTCAAATCAGACCAAATTCCCACTATGTACATTTGCTACAGACCCTTCTATTCATCATATCAGCGACTGTGACCACAGGATATGTAAAAATACCAAGCAATTTTTATCACCAGCTCCCAATCCCCCTGTGCCCCCAGACCACCACGTGGTGTCAAATTTGTCTGCATTTCACCCCCAGGAAATCGAGTCATTAACTTCCCTTTCATTTACCAAGAGCTGTTGCCAAAAAGAAAATCATTCATCGGCTGTGACTTATGGGAAGAAAGAGAGAAAGGACTGATTTCACGAGAAGGAGAGAGAAGGCAAAGAAAAGGGAGAGAAAGTTGGAGCTTTTCTTGTCCCGGGGCAGATGGAGAACGCCAAGTTCCCTGGTGCCTTCTCCCCCCTCCCATCTCCGGAGGACACATTCCCCCCACCACCACCACCCAGGGCTGTCCCACAGCGTAAACCACACGGGAGCATGTGGGGGTCGTCAGACGGTGGGACTGAAGGTGCCTATCTCGCCTTTCCTCGATGGCTAACGTGCCTGGGCCTCTGCGGGCAGGAAGGCTAGAGGAGGTAGGTTCTGGGCTGCTGCTGGCTCTCCTGGGTTCCCTGGGGGGGGGGGGGGGGGGAGAAGGGCACGTGGAGAGAAGGGAGCCCAGCGCTCCACCTTCTTACCTTTGCATTCTTGACATTCTGTGTAGCTCCATGTCATCACTGCCCCGGAATCCTTTGGCGAAGGGATTATTCTCAATCTTTAATTGGGTGATCTGCAGAAAGGCGAGAGAGAGAGAGAGAGAGAGAGAGAGTTGGTTTTCACTTGATGGCTGGAAATGCAGCCTCTGGCGACCAAAAGAAGCAAATTAAGCCAGTCACGTCAGTGAGACTCACCACTTCATTCAAGGGGAGGCTTTGAAAAATGCCCTCGATCAGACCACTTTTTAAAAGGGGAAAAAACCTGGTTTCGGTTTGCCCGTTAATTGGAGTCATGCTCTGCATCACTCCAGCTGGGTTGGTTTGTTTTTTAATCCTGGCATGTTGTGTTTCGAACACAATCTAGGCCTCAGCACTTGGGAGCCCTCCTTCCCCTCGGAAAGTTGGGCACGGGGGACGCGGTGTTGCTCGTCCCGCAGCGTGGTGAGCGCCGCGTGGAGAAGAAACTTGGTTGCTTTCAAAATTCTGTTTCTGTCTCATGCCTTGTTCATTTCAGCTTCACAGACCAGTTGGCTAGCACAGGTGGAAGATGGCACCCGATTAAATAAACACCCACAGAGAGAATTGTAACATACGTGATAGCTGTCTATCAGTTCCAAAGCCCTTCACTTTTCCAGATAAAGAACACAGAGCCCTCTTCTCGCGAATGTTTGTTGCAATGTACAAAACTTAGCAATAGAACAGGATCTTGGGTTCAAAGGTCAGAACTTCCACAGAAACCACCAACACATTGTCTGTGAGCGTGAGCGTAGAGTAACAGATCCAGATGAAAGAGTACATCTGTATGGAGTCTGCTAAAAGTATTTCCTAAAAGCTGCGTGTGAATTGAATTTTTATTTATCGGATCATTTTAGAACCACCGAGGCAGCATTCACGAGGTTCAATCACGCAAGCTTCACCTTCACCGTCATTATTGTATTATATCTATAATCTTATTATATAATAATAGTATATAATACATATTATTATTTATACTTAGAATGTAAAACTATTTCTAAAATATTATATCTATCTGTACACTGGTCTCTGCTTAGTATTTTGATTTAAATCTAACCACTTTTTGTTTACATTTATTTTATAAAAAATATGGTATCACTTCTCTCTACCTCAAACTGGAATCATGAGCTACTCAAAAAAGGAAAACTATTGTATTAAATTCTCTCTACTGGCCCCCGGCAGAAAGTTCTAAACCCAAGGTCTGCCCTCACTTTTTTTTTTTTTTAAGATTTTATTTATTTATTTGACAGAGAGAGGCACAGCGAGAGAGGGAACACAAGCAGGGGGAGTGGGAGAAGGAGAAGCAGGCTTCCCGCTGAGCAGGGAGCCCGATGCGGGGCTCGATCCCAGGACCCTGGGATCATGACCCGACCTGAAGGCAGACACTTAACAACTGAGCCACCCAGGCGCCCCCCAATATTTCTTTTTTTTAAAAAAGATTTTATTTATTTATTTGACAGAGAGAGAGACACAGTGATAGAGGGAACACAAGCAGGGGGAGTGGGAGAGGAAGAAGCAGGCTTCCCGCCGAGCAGGGAGCCCGATGTGGGGCTCGATCCCAGGACCCTGGGATCATGACTTGAGCCAAAGGCAGACGCTTAATGACTGAGCCACCCAGGCGCCCTGGCCTGCCCTCACTTTGTTGCAAGGGGAAACGAGACACTTTCAGAGACATATTTAACACACACTGGGACTGAACTCTCTCCCTGATTGATGAATAGAAAGATAATCAAAATGAGAACAATTTTCTTGATCCCAACCTATGCAAGTACCCACAAAAACTACCTCAGCTACCCCCCACAGGAGAGTTCCAGACTTTGAGAAACCGAGCAAGTTCCTTTGAGAAACCAGGAGTAGTAACTAGTGAATGCACCTATAATTCATCCCTTTAGGGGCAGGCATTCTGGTATGTTCTGTTTCAGAAGAAATGGCCTTATAAGGTTTCCTTCTAACTCCAAGACTCTATAATGAACATGAAATTACTATATTACACACGTGTATGTGTGTGTGTGCTTGCCATAAAAAATATACATGAAATTAAAGTTTTAAAAATATGTTATATGATTCCAACCCTATGACATTTTGGAAAAGGCCAAACTATAGAGACAGCAAAAAGGGACCAGTGGTTGCCAGAGTTTGTGTGGGGAGGAAGGGATGAATAGGCAGAGCACAGAGGACTTTAAGTAAAGCTATTCTGTATGATAATGGAACGGTCGATACATGTCCGCGACTCTGTATGTGTCCACACCCACAGAATCTATGACCCCCAAGAGTGAGCCCTCATGTAGTTTCTAGGTGATAACAATGTCTCAGTGTAGGTTCATCGATTGTAATAAATGTCCCAGTCTGGTGGGCGGTGGCGATGTTGATCATGGGGGAGCCTTTGTGGAGGGTGGGGGCACAGGGGGTCTAAGAGAACTCTGTATTTTCCACTTTACCTTGCTGTCACCCTAAAACCACTCTAAAAAAATAAGACATATTTTAAAACTTTTAAAATAGGTGTGTGTCTTTATGTATACACACATTCCCTCCTCCCTCATTTTTTTTTAAACTGGACCCATTCCTACAACTTTCTGATTTTGACTTGACCCTTCAGAATGAGTAGAAAAACCTGTAAAGGTCTCTTAGAAACACAGTCTTTAAAATGTGCACTCCCGAATCCACTTCTGTTTTGAGTCCAACAGGCCATTGCCTAGTAGAGCTTTCTTTCCCACTCAGGCTTTATCATTAAAAAATGCAACCCAATTGACCATAAATCATGCTATTTTTAAAGGTGGGGGCGGGGGGGTAGGATTCTCAAAACGTGAAGTAAAAATCAGATCATTCAAAAAGAGGTGGAGGGAATCCTCGCTGCACTTCCCTGTGAGTTTTGTAGGCAACATGGGTGTGGTATCGGGGCTGGATGAATGGCTAGTCCATGACATCTCTGTTCCACCAAGAGCTGGGGACAAACAATTACCGTAAGGGGAAAAAAAAGAAAAAAAAGAAAAAGGAGGGGAGGTGGGCTTTGGTATTTTTATCAGCAAAAATCTTTCGCTTAAAACCATCCCTTGCACCCCAAACAGGTCCTACTACTACCTAATGTTTGAGCTTCCAAAAAGATGTTTGCACAGGACAAGCACAGTTTGCTATACAGACACTTCAGTACGTTGATCTTACGTAAGTCTTATGCATAGACTGAGTATGGAGGTCTAGAAGACATAAGGATTATTACCCTTGAGAAATGTTCATACACAAGCTCAGCTGCAGGTGAAAATGTCCGCCTGAGTCCGTACAGACCCCAGCTCTGGAATTCCCTTCCAAACACGCTGCATGTTGGCTAGCTCCCTCATGGGCACATGATCCGGTCGGATGTCTGAGTTCTACTAAAAGGCTCCAATGAAACGGACTTGCACTCGTCGCACAAATGTACTCCCTCTCCAAGATCAGCATAAAACCGGATATCCGGGGGAGGGTGGAGGGTGAGGGCTAAAACAAATATAAATACCAGCTCCAACCAGTGAGACAGAGGTTGTAAAAATTAATGAGAATAATTGTTGTGAATTCTTGCTTTTGGAAAAAAAAAAAACCCTCACGAGGGCCAAAAATCTTAATTATGTCTCTCTATTAGGGGTTCATTTCCTGGTCCGAACCAGAAAGCTCATACCTCATAAATACAGACTCTTTACACAATGATTTAAGCAGGAGGAAAAATGCCTTTTAACGGCAAAGTAAGTTAATATTGGGGGATAGACATGGCTTGCATACACAGCCATTGTTGCAAGAGCAGAGAAATGAGATGCCCACGTGACCTTTTTTTAACACCTAAATATTTCTAGGGCTTGTTCTGGGCGCTGCTGACAGCCTCATCGAAAACCTTACAAAAACGTGTTTCACAGTGCAAACGTCACTGCTGCGGAAGAGTCGAGTTTTTTAAATATCTTTTTCAAGCTGTCAGCCATCTGGGAAAATAACTCCCAGATCCAGCTTGGGATCACAGCTGGGCTGAGGAAACATGTCGTCGTGTCATTAGGAGCCGCGGGGCATACGGGTGTGTGACCCCTGCCTAACAAACGAAGGTCGCCAGGTACCTGCCTCCACCTGGGATACCGGCATCCGAGCAGAGAGCATTCTGAAGGCATTGGGCCACTTACACCAAAAATGAGTGTCCCAAATTGTCCTGGCAATTTAATCCCGTGGATTGCTGTTCTGTCCTCGCTCACGTATCCAAAGCATCATGCGGGGCAAAGAGTCCTTGAATTGATGGCATGTTCAGGGACTGAACGAACTCACCCACCAAGACGGACACTTGTAGTGGCTTTTCAAACACGGTAAGAAGAACTTATTTGAAAGCTCAGTTCTTCTGATTCTAGAATAATCAGGGAAGGCAAAGAGTTTCCCAGGGCCTGCGTTTTGGATGGAGTTGTCCTGTTATAAATGGATCAGCTGAGTAGTCAATCCACAGCATCATAACTCACCCTCTGCGTGAGCATGCGTGCAATGCTCTGTGCTACGCGTTTTCCAAAGATTATCTCGGTTAGTCCTCACGCTGATAAACATTAGCAATTCTTGTCTCATCCCCATTTTACAGAGGAGGAAAACTGAGTCCAGTAACTTGCCCAAGTCAAATGGATTTAAATCCAGGCAGCCTGCCTCCAGAGTTCCACCTGAACCCTAGGCAAGGGTGAGTAAGAGCGCAGGTGGCTTCTGCCCATGAAATCAAGAGTCTCAATACCTCGCCCAGGTGGGACAATAAACGAACAAGACAGAGTCCACAAACCACACTCAGCTTGGCCTGAGTGTTTAAGTCACACGTCCTATATCCACGCGGGGAACGCCTGCAGCAGCCCTGGAAAATTTTACTGCTTTAGACTGCTTCCTGACGAAGAACATAGGGGCCTTTGGTACTTCACAACTAAAAAGTGGGAGGGGGAAGAGTGACGGAAAGTTGTCTTCTATGAAATCCCTCTTCCGGATGTCAGGCTGGTGAAAAAAACCTTTATAGCCCAACCAATTAAAAACAAAACAAAACAGTACCCAAATTCCCATCTGTGAACCCGTTGTGTGGTCATCAGACACACATCTATCCGGATGCGGATTTGGAGACACACATTTTTAGACCCATGAGCATTTAGACACACAATCCCCTAGATTGCACTCAAATCTCACACATATACACCCTATTAGGCAGACACTCCTTCAAGCGCATAGATCACTAAATATATTCATTGGGAAGGACATTTTAAAAAAACAGAAATATGGGGGAGTGGGGTATATTCACAAGTGGTCACAATGATAAATACATGTCAAACTCGTCAAATTGTATACTTCAAATATTGCAGTTTATTGTATGATAGTTATGCCTCAAAAAGCAAAGAAAGAGGGGAGCCTTGGTGTGGCTCAGTTGGTTGAGCGTCTGCCTTCGGCTCAGGTCATGATCCCGGGGTCCTGGGATCGAGTCCCGCCTTGGGCTCCCCGCTTAGTGGGGAGCCTGCTTCTCCCTCTGCCTGCCGCTCACCCTGCTTGTGAGTTCACTTTCTCTCTCTCTGAGACAAATAAATAAAATCTTAAAAAAAAAAAAAACAAAGAAAGAGACAGAGAGAGAGTACATGCTCTCCCAGATCTAGCCTTGCCTGACGGACCCTAAGATCATAACTACACAGAGCTTAGGGATTTCCCCCAAAGGCCCCAAGCACTCACATCTTTCTTTAGCAGGTCACTTTCATGAGTCTACCATTTCCTGTCCTTTCTGTGTGAGTCTGGGCTTTTTTAATTGAAAAGAAAGAAAGAAAAGAAAAAAAATCTGATATATCTTTGGACCCTCTGTCAGGTCTAAGTGTGTGTGTGTGTGTGTATGGATATATAAATATACAGATGTGTGTGTGTGTGTGTATATACATGCATATGAGAGGGAGAGAGGGAGGGAGGGAGCAGTGAGACTGAGTGTGCTCGTTGCTATTTTTTCCAATTTTTTCCCCTGTGACTGTCACCACAAAGTTAAACATAGATTTACAATAGCCATAGAGGAAACAGGTTTCTAGCAGCCAGACCCAAATTAGCCTGAAATAGTTTTGCAATTTTCAGAGTATTTGACCTTAATGTTTTTGCTCTTGTTGGTTTGACAAGTCAGGGGTGGAATTCAGAAAAATCCTTCTTCCCCTTTAAAAAGTAATTGCATTTTGGAGAGAGCGAGTTTTCTTCTGGAGGGAAGCTCTCTCAAGGCTTGAGTCCCCAGACAGGACTTGCAGCCTAGAAAGGACCATCCATCACAACTTGGCCTGGTGACTGACAAGCTGAATTTGGACATTACCATCTTATAACTGCCTTGGCTTCCTGGTGGTGGTGGGGGGGGGTGTTATCTGACACCCAGCATATAGGCGGGAGGCTTTAGGGTGCTAAACCCACCCCTCACCCCTGCCCTGGCCTCTTCCACCTGGCTTCACGGCCCCTGTAACTTCCCGCCACCCTACCTTGCAGGTGGGGACAGGAGCTGTGGAGGAGGAAGGGCGTCACCATCCCCATGTCCATCTCCTTATATTGCCCCAGTGACCTGCCCTCACTGATCCCATATGGAAGTCCCTACATTCGCCTTCAACAGTCCTCCAACCCAGATCACACTACTTAATGCTAACAACTTGCACCCCTACAGTGCCCCCTTCCCTGTATCTTGCCTTGCCAGATTCTATATGTCTTTTCAGAACTAGGCTTAAGAATCACTCAATCCTGCCCCCCCACCAATAAAATGAATCCAGAAGCACTTAAGTTTCGAAAGAACAGAAGTGAACCATGAGAATTCAAGAGAAGCCCTTTCTCCTGGGAAAAAAGAATAGATACCCCCCCAACCTGCAGTGAGGGGGTACCCTGTTCCAGCACCATTGTCCAGCTTGGAAATGCCCAAATTGGGGCCTGGATTTTGAACAGCGTGGGAGTTGATGTTGACAGGATCGAGCTGTACCCTCCCACGTCTACACCACACTGCAGCCTCCTTCTGGAAGACTGAGGCATCCGCAAGCTGTGGTTTTGCTGCAGTCTCCTCTAACTCCTGGGAGCTGGGGCGGGGGGGGGGGGAGGTGGCAGAGGTCGCTTGGGCTTTTTGGGTTTTTGTTCTGATTTTCAACAATGCCAACCCTGCCTCACTGTGGTCTGTCCAGGATCAGTAACCACGGAGACAATGAGAGAAGCATCTTGCAAATCCAAGCCCAAGGCTTCTGGCAATTTTTCACCTGCCCCAGGTCAAGCTGAAATGCATCCCAAAGGCAGACTGGAGGAGAGACCCTCACCTGAGAAAGAGGTTCCACGAAGGTGGCCCCAGGCCCCCACCCAAGAGCACGGAGCCCTGCAATAAAGTGACCTTTCTTCCTGCCGATCACTTCATGCGTGCAGAGAGATACATTCCTGTATTTGAATGCGCGGTCACCTACAGTCTGACAAGTTTGTTTCTAACCGGTGTGTGTGTGAGAGAGAGACAGAGACAGAGAGACAAGGAGAGACAGAGATACAGAGAAGAGAGTCCCGAAAAACCCTGAATATAGTACAAAGAGCTGAAACCCTCAGGATGTAGCTTGGTCCCTGCCCCAGCCCCCTGGGGTAGAAGCTGGTGCCCGCTGTGAGCGAATGAAGAAGCCCTTAGAGCTTAAGAGTTTCAGCAGGAGACCCCTGCATCCTCCTGCAAAGGCTCAGGCAGTGGCCCCAGCACGCTGGTTCCCGGGCCTCGGGCTTACCTTGTGGTTCTGGTAGGAAGTCACGGCGATAAACGCCGTCTCAGGAAAGACGTGGGTGCAGAACGCAGTATTTTTTGAGCCAAATCCATTATTTTCATCCGCCTTCACGATGTGTAATCTGGGCTGGTATTTGTGCATGGAATTTAGAATAATCTAAAAATAATAAGGAAAATGAGATTGTAAGAAAAATCAAAACCCCTTTGTTTCCCAATAAATCCCCTCTCTCCACCCTTAAAATTCACCTCCTTATACAGGCTCTCAAAAAACGGTCTGATTTTTTTTTTCTCCTGTTTTGAAAAGGGGGCCAGTGATTTCATTAAAAAGAAACATTTCAAAGATGACAATTTCCAACCCAAAAAGCCAGGGTAATATTCCAGGAATCTACCCAAAGCACACACGGCAGTAAATCAGAATTCTTAATAAAGTTTGCTTAATAAATTAACTCCTGCATAGGGTACTTCCCCACCCCACCCCCACCCCCCAATAGGAGAGAAGCAAGTCTGGAGCAAGGACCTGGTTTCCCAGGGGGAAGTTTAAGCGTCAATTTCAGAATGAAAGGGGAGAAGACACAAACGAATAAACAAACATCCCCCCACCCCCCAAAAAAAGAACCCCGCTAAAAGACGGAAAAGAAAAAGACCAGTGTTTGCAGAACTGGAGTAAAAATCACAGGCTTGGCCCTTTGTTAGGAGAACGTGCAAAGTAGAGTCAATGAAAAAAAGAAGAAGATAATGGGATGGGGAGTGGGCCTCTAAGGATGGTGAGATTGGAGGGAAGAAGCACCCGCCATCACACTGCCACCAAAGGAGGGCCTGCTTCCCTCCAGGTTCCCTTTCTACAACTTTATCAACGTTTTCGGGATCCACTGTGGGAACTATCTCCAGACTTGGCCCCAGACAGAAGCACTGCATCTACTTTTTTGGGAATGCGCTCTTTCTCCTTCCTTTCTACCGACTCAATGTTTGAGGTGCTCCCAGGGACAAGCGGGGTCTTACTGCTGCAGCTGCACCTTTAATAGGACGACTCTAATCAGTATTAAGGGGGAGAGGGGCTCCAGACTCCACACCCTCTCTGCTGGAGCAGGACTAGTCCCAGCGGATGAGCATCTTTGCTAATGAAACTGGCTTTGCTGTCTGGAGGACGCCTGGCTTTTGATGATTTCGGGAGGCTGCGGAGGCGAACATTTATCAAAGCGTTCGGATATATACCCACCGAATGCGCCAATCGCCGCGCTCAAGGGGCTGAAAATCTGGCCTGCTTTTGCCCCAGGACCGCCAACTGGAGCGGCGGAGACTGTCCCCGTGTCTTTGATTATTCGCGTTGATGACCCTGGGGCAGGGTCCTTGGGCCAACCCTAGAGACCCGCCCGGAGGAGGGGGAGGGGAGGTGGGGAGGGGCGAGAACCCGGGGCCCCGCGGCTCCCGACGACCCCGGCCGCGCGGCTCTAATCTCTGGCCGCCGCGGCCCCGGCCGCCTCCCTGGCCGATAGCGACGCCGGCCGGGGCGGCGTGGCGACAGAGAGACGCAGCGGGGCCCCGCGGGCCGCCGCAGTCCCCGGCCGGCGCGCTCATCGTCCCGGCTTAGCCAAATTGCTTTGACGGCCGGGGACAGTGTGGAGACGTCAGCGCGAGCGCGATCTAATGGCTCCTAATTTCATTAGGGCGGCTCTGGACTCCGAGTCCGGAGTTGGGGGGCAGGGCTGCGTGGCAGCGGGGGAGTCCGGGGCCACCCCGAGCGCCCTCCCTCTCCCGCGGGCTCGGGAGGACTGGAAACTCGCAAGGGTGCCGGAGCCTGGTTGCGGGGCCGCGCGCCTTCCCCAGGCGCCCACCCCAACGCGACCCCAAAGGGCACCCCCGGGACGCACGCAGAGAGAAAGCCAGGCGCCCGAGTGAGACAGTCCCGCTGTCTGGCACCAAGGTTCCACGGGGTCCCCCACAAAAGGGTCCTACCCAGCCTCCTGGAGGCCGCCAGCCAGGAGGGGAAAACCATCCCATTTCTCCCCGGCGCTTAACCTAGACAGAGTCCCGGTTCTGCGCCCGCAGGTACGCGTCACCCCGGCCAGCCGCCGCCCCTGGAAGCTCGAGGGCATTTCTGGGCGGGGATGCTCCCGCCCGCAGCAGGCTGCCGGCAAACTGCCTGGTTGAAACGCGGAGGAGGCCGGGCGGTTTGCCCTGAAACGCCCCTCTGCACCCTCTGCTCCTTCCCCACCGCGCAGGAAGGGAATGGGCCTTCCTTCTCTCTTCCTCCCAGCGGCCAACAGTTCAAGCTCCCGGGGGGACCACGTGCAGAGATGGCGGCGGCCTGCATCACTGTCCCAACGCCACCACACACCCTGCGGGTTCAGTGTTTTAGCCCTAAGGCCCCACAGGAGCAGGTTCTCCCTTTGGACATTCCCAAACGGTCCTCCTCCGGATCAAATCCATTCAAACCCAGTACCCTCAACCGAGGACCCTGTGTTTGTGGATTTTCCCTAAAGAGACCACATGGCAGGATAGAGACCACTCTCGGAATTAGAGAGATCAAGCCTCAAATCCCTGCTGCCAAAACCAAGCTGCATGACCTTGGGAGAGTGCCCTCCCGTCCCCTGGACTCCCATTTATAAAGGGTGCATATTTGTGTCCTCCTTTCTAGCCTGCTATGAAGGCCAAGTGCCCGAAGATGAAGGAGCCCACTTGATGGTGGAATCATCAAGCCAAGGGTTCTGAACACACTGAATTCAGAGACTGTGTCCTGTCCTGGTGATCAGTTATTGCCAATGAAAAGATCTAGAGACATTTTCCCCCAAATCGGTGTTTTGTTCTTCATTTGTTTTTTGTTGAGGAAGAGAATCTACTTAAAGTGAGAGAATCTGCGAAAAAGCTACACATTCTTTTGGAAGGTGGGAGGGGGCAGGACACTCAATGTCCCACATGCAGATTCAGGGGGTTCACCAGGCCGCTCTTGGGGGGCCCATGCGGACTCCAGGTTTAGGGCTCTGGTCCAGGTTTGCCTGCTCCGGGCATGGTGGGGGCGGGGCAGGGGGGAAGCTGGAAGTTGGGGGGAAAAACTGATAATCCCAAGCTATCAGCTAAAAAGGGGTACCAGGGGCGCCTGGGTGGCTCAGTTGGTTAAGCGACTGCCTTCGGCTCAGGTCATGATCCTGGAGTCCCGGGATCGAGTCCCGCATCGGGCTCCCTGCTTGGCAGGGAGTCTGCTTCTCCCTCTGACCCTAACCCCTCTCATGTGCTCTCTCTCATTCTCTCTCTCTCAAATAAATAAATAAAATCTTTAAAAAATAAAAATAAAAAGGGGTACCAGGGTTGGCCTCTGGCAGGTTGGTTTCCCCTTCTGTAAAAGAGGGAGCAGGTGGCCTGGGGTCCCCCTGTCAGCTGGAACATCTCAATAATAAGGCAGGATGTGGAAGTGAGCAAGGAAGGTATCTATGGCTCCCACCACGGTCCAGCCTCTGGGCAAGCCTGTGCCGGAGTCCCCACTGGGTTAGAAGGACCTGGTTTTCTGAGATCTGAAACACCGAGCCCCCCACCCCTCATCACCGATGGGACTGAGGTCCAGACCAGGCATGTGCGCTTCAGTCTCCCCCAGGCCCTGGTCTCCAGCTACCCGGGGAAAGGCGGCCCCAGAGCATGGGACGGTGGCCACAGAGAGGACTGCACAGGAGAGCGGTGGAGCCAGAAGGGAAGAAGGCCGGATCAGGGAGGCCAAGAGAGGAAAAGACCCAGGCGGGTGGAGTGGGGCGAGGAAAGGAAAAACGTGAGTGTGAGGAGCCAAGAAGAGAGAGAAACTCAGGAAGCAGGGGTAGGAGAGAGGGCAAGACAGACAGACGGACAAAGACTGAGAGCAGGCTGCACGAGGTACTTACGTGCCCGAATGGGTCCAGGTGGTTGTTGGTGAGCTTGAGTTTCTGGAAGGAGACCAGCTGCCGCATCCAATGCGCCCCCGTGGCTGGCGAGTCCGGGTGAACGTAAAGACGGCCCGGCATGGCGGGCTCTGCTTTGCCCGTCACAGACCTGGATCAAGGAGGGGCAAAACCCGCCTAGACTTAGAGCCCTGTCATGCTGGTGGGGTCCTGTGCCGGGCCAGGCAAGGGCTGCTGAATAGGGAATGATCTGGAAATGACCTGACCCTTGGGCCTCGCCTGGCCATCTGTAAGCCCAGGTGCCCAGAAGGCCTGGGGCCAGTGTCCAGGCGAGCCCCTCACCCGGCTCTTTCTTCTTCTACCTCACTCCTCCCCCTGCACCAGGGGTGCCGCTGCCGGGCCTCGCAGCCTCTTGCTGCCCATGGACCATCGGTAGGTTCTGGAAGCCTGGACAAAAAAGTTTAAGCGGAGTCCTTGAGGGCTTTCAAACGGGCCTTCCTGATTTAGCCTCTGCATGCTTGACAGCTATGGGAGCAATCCACCCGAGGAATGGACCTCTCCTCTCTTGCCTGTTTAACTCCAATACCATGGCCTGACTTTGCAATTTCATAAAAAGGCATCTTCAAAGCAGGTAACTCATAAAAAATAACTGTAAATGGTTTTATGCCCCCAGAAATACCTCCAGCGCTTGGAAACAATACCCTTTTCTAAAATCCACAACCCGCGGGTGCAGCAACAGATACAGGCCCTTCACTTTCTCTGAGCCTCAGTTTTGTTGTCTATAAAATGGGGGCTAAAGGCTGCAGTGTCTTCCTCTCAGGGTGGTCCGGAATAGGAGCAAAAGCCTCTGGCCCACAGTAGGGAGTTCCAAAAATGTTTCTTGGTTCAATGCGGGGCGGGGGGGTGGGGGTGGTGGTGAGGGGAGTCTGGCTTTCCACTTCCCCCACCCCCCCCCCGCCTTCCCCACCTGCCCACACCGCTAGGTGCCTACCATTTATTATCTGCGAACTTGTATCTGTGGTCATCGGCTGGAACAATGTCCATGAGGAGAATGTATTTCGTTTTGGGATTAAGGCCCGTCACCTTCACTTTGTAACTGGGAAACATCCGCCTGGGAGAGAAGGGGAGGAACACGGAGAAAGGGAGGGGAAGAGAGACAAGGAGAAAGAGAGAAAGAGAATATTACTGCCAGTACTGTAAAGAGCAGGTCTACACATTTTAATAAAAGAAGCAACTCCTCGAGAAGCAGTGCAGGAGAAAAGTGGCCCCCGCTCCGCTCTTGGCAAGATCCATTCCAGGTTTCCCTTGAAGTTTTGGGGAGGAGATAGGCCCCGAGGTGAGCAGGAGGCTGGTGACTATTTGTAACCAGGAGGAAAATAGAAAGCTGGAGGCCCAGGCTTCTAGAAAGAACCAGTTATGTAGAGGGCCCTGCTTGGAACCTCCATTTGTTCTTTGTAAACGCTCTTTTTCAGAGCCAGAGACCTACTTTATAATTTAGGGGTAAAAGGAGCTCTATTAGGGGAAAAGCTGGCCTCCCGAGCCCAGGCGAGTGCTGGGGCCGCTGAGCCCACCGCTGCTGCCTCATGAGGACCCCAGGCTGTGTGCGCCCTCAGGACTGCACACCCATGGGTGCCCATACACCTCCTGTCCTGGCCACAGTCCTCCGTCCCTAGAGCAGAGCTCAGTTGGTGACCTCTGCCACGAGGCTCTAGCTGAATTTTATTCCCAAATGCCCCCCAACTTCTCCAAGGCACCTGGCACTCTTCCTTGGAGAGTCTGAACACTTTGGCCCTCCGCGAAGAAACTCAAAACCCATCCGGGTTTGGTTTCGGAAAGACCGGGGCCGGAACCGCGATGGGGTCATGGGCAGGTGGGTGCTTGGGACCTGCAGGCTCTGTACCCACGCCCTCTGCGCTCTGGGGTGCGCACTCCAAATTCCCAGCCCTCCTGTCGGAGGAGGGGTGGCGGTGGCGTGCGCCCCGGAAAGCCAGCAAGGACAAGCTGCTGGACCCTGGCTCGCCCGGGGATGGCGGGAAGGGGGTGAGTGAAGGGAGGCCTTGGAGCCCAAGCCTGGTGGTGTTTATATGCCCGAGCGCGTGCGCCTGCAGGCGGGCGCGCGGGAGGCTTCCCAGGCCTTTTATAGTTAAATCCCCTCGGCTCAGGCCGGGGGCAGAGGGGGCCGGGCCGTGTCTTTCCTTCCTCGGCAGAATGGGAAGAAGAGCTTAGTTCTTCAGTATAAACAGAACGCGCCTCCTAGTTCACTCAGGCCGAGCGGGGGAGCAGACATTGTTTAATTTCAAATAATAATAAATGTCACTGTTGTCAGTTTATTGCGGGAGGCTTCGGCCGGAGAACGGGGGGCGTCTGGTGAGACGGTTCCACCCTCCCCCTTCACACACTCCGTGGCTCGGGCCTACTGGCCTCGCCAGCTTCACAGGCGGGTTTCACACGCCAGCTAGGGGCTGACTGCGGGCTTTCTGTCCTTGGGGACACGGAGCACCGCGGGGGGGCCTGTGGTGAGGATGGCCCCAGGCCTGGGCACACTGGCACCCTGAGATACAGAGCTGTACGACCCTCCCCCAGCCTCCTCCAGCCGTCTAGCATTTCTAGCACAAAACTGTGAGCTTTTAAGAGGAACTCTGGGGTGAGTGTCTTGGCAAAACTGCCGAAACTGCCGTGTTTATCGGTGTCTGTATATAGAGCCCGGCCGAGCCCCGGTTCAGTTTCAAAGGCTTCGCCTGCTTTCTATAAACAATGAAAGAGGTAGCGAATACATTCGACGATTCAGAGTTTGGCAATCGGGTGGGACTCTGGACCCACTCCAAGGTCGAGGAGGGTGGGAAGGAGGGTGGGGGCCAGGAGTCAAGGCTGGAAGCGGGTCTCATCTCTGTGCCGACTCCGCACCTCTCTGGCTTCCCGTTCCCTCTCCCCCTTGTCCCACTTTCTCCCACTACCAATCAGTCCACTGAGCGGAGCCTCCCAAGCTCTCCATTCTTCTATATGAGGCGGGAGAAATGCCCTGTTTCTCGCAGGCGTTTCCCCCACCAGGGATGGGGGTCACTGGAGGACTTCTCCAGGCATCTTTAACCCAAATCAGGTCAAACAAAATACATTCATTCTTTCTCTCTCCTCTATTCTGTTCTCGCCTTTCTCTGTCCCTCTGCCTTCTCTGGGTCTCCATCTCTTGGGTCTCCGAGACACCTTTCCTTCTCCGTCTCCCCCACAAATTCCCCAGGCCCTCCACAAAGGTGGCCAGCTCACCTCCCAGCCTTGGTTATGATCATTTCCGTGCCTACTTCGTGAAATTTCAGCCACAGCTCTCTTTCGTGGAGAAACACCTTGATCCCTTCCATGCCCTATAGGAAAGAGAGAAAAGTCATACAGACGAGCCCCAGGAGCAGTGGGCCTTTCCTCCCCAAACTTCCCCCAAACACAGATGTCTCCTTCCCTCTGGAGTTTCTGGACTCCAAGGCTGAGAACTGCCCCCAGCTCACGGCAGGGCTGCCTGGACTCTGGGGGTGGGTGGGGGGGATAGGAATCCCTGTGCAGGCCCCGTGCACCTCCCCCCCATGATGCACTGCTGTCTCCTGATGCCACCAACACAAAGCTAGAGAAAAGTCCCCAAACATCAGGGTGCTCTAGCATGCCCATGGGAGGACAGACTGAGACCAAAAAAAAAAAAAAAAAAAAAAGGGACCAATCTCAAACCCTTTCAGCCAAGATGCAACTAAAAAACAAAAGCAAAAACAAAAACGCTCGATCTCAAAAAGGCCACTCAGAACATCCTTCCGTAGACACCCGCATGGGCACACACAAACACACACACGTGCAAATCCCGTACATACGCGTGTTTAGTCTCACCATGGCGGTGCAAACATAGACATATGTGAATATCTCAGCTTAAAAATGTGTCTAGAATAGGTTCCAGCAGTCCAAAAAAAATTCAGATGTCTATATTAGCAAACCTTCTAGGTTCTCCTCACAGCCAACTTTGTTCACTTCGAGCTGTTTTTGATTCTGGGCACAGCCGAAACTATTCAACATTTCCACTTTCAGCTAAAAGCTATTTTACAAAACCGATGCAAGAAAATATATACACAAAAATCTTCGCTTTGCCATAATCCGTAACTGCCTTGTAAGTGGATTTGTTTTTCCAAAAAGAAAAGCAATCGAAGTTTCCCAAACTCTGTGCCCACCGCCCTCTGCTTCTCTATAACCATACACGCGTCTTCCTGAGACGGGAAGGGCAAACACAGGTGATAAAGTAGCTAGGAAGGACATCGATCGATCGAAATCCCAAAGAAAGGATTTGGCTACGTCCAAATATCTCTGCTGGTCAAGTCACCCCGCTTGGCACCCCATCTGACACCCTGTGTAAATTATCAAGAGCTACGCGGGCCTCCTTGAGCATCCAGAGTGCCCAGGGAAGAAGGTACAGAGAGTGCGCCGAGGCCTCACCCTCCACTCGGGCCCAGCTTCCAGCCAGGGGATCCTATGGCTCCCAGCAACCTCCCAGCACAGCCGGGCGCTCCCCGCCACCGGCCAGGGCGAGCCAGCCCTCCAGAGCCCGGCCCAAGACAAATAGTGCAACTCCCGGGTCCAGGCGGCGGCGCGGAGGAGGTGGGCGGAGGCGAAGGCTAGGGAAGATCTGAAGAGGGGTCAAGCCATCGCTCACGCCGGCCTGAAGCGGCCGCTGACCCAGCCCTTAATGAGGTGCTCGGGGCTGAGTCTACACCTAGCGCAGGAGCACAGGAATGATCTGGGCTATTGTTAGCTGGCCCCAAATAGCCAGATAATTAAGCCTTCTCTAACAAGTTAAACATATGTCCAAATTCCTCTGGCCGTAAAGATTATCGTCACAATAAAGGGGATGGGAGTATACTGGGATCTGGGGACGCGGGGCATAGAAAGGTGGAATGAGCGGGGATAGAAAGGAAAGGGGACAATTAATGGGCAACGGGCAACCCACCCCCGCCCCTCCCCCACAGGAGGGCCTTCGGTTTCTGCAATGGGCCGAGAGGCTAGAGATCTTCTTACCTGCTGGGTGAAGGCAGCCTGCGGGGACGCCGGGGACTTGCTGGGGGCCCCTAGCGTGCTCTCGGGCTTGGAGTCGCAGGGCAGATCCTTTGAGTCAGGTTCCAGGGGTGTGTGCGCCAGGCCAAAGCCTTCGTCTGCGTCGGCCATGGTGTGCCCGGCGCCCTGTGCCCGCGAAGGGTCCTGCTCTGAAGACAGGAAGCAGAGAGAGAGAGAGAGAGGCAGAGAAAGAGAAAAGAAGGTTGGAAACACTGTTCTAGTGACAGGAGGGAGCAGCTGGGTCCCCAGTTTCCAGCTCCCAGCACCTCCGTTCCCTGTGGGAGGAGGTTGCCGAAGGTCCCCTTATTATTATCATTATTAGTACTTTTATGACCACGCACAACCTCTTGCGAAAGACCCGGGTCAGACCAGGCGGAGGCGAGGCCCGCATCTCCCCTGCGCAGGCTCCCCCACGATAAGCCAGCTGCCGGTCAAATTTGTCTGGACTTCTGGAAGAGCCAATAAAGATAAGACCTGGGTATTTTTGGAAGCCGCTGGGTACCAACCAAAAACAAAACAAAAACCTAGTGTCCTTTTGAGAATTGTTTTTCTTCGTCAAATTCACAGAAGGACATCACAGCCCTGTTTATTAAAACTCGCAGCAGGCAAAATGTCTGCAACAACCCGCTTCTTGCAAAACCAAAAACAGAGGAGGGGAAAGATTTTGCAGATCGAGAGACCAGGTCGGCAGGAGAATTCACGTTCATCCTTTATCAGTTACAGGCCTTAAAATTAAAAGTCCTTCAACAGTAAGAGTCCTCCTCCCTTTTCCCCCAACTTTTAGCAACGGTAAAAAAAAAAAAAAAAGAAAGAAAGAAAGAAAGAAAAGTAGCCCAACGAAAAGGGCAGGAAAGCGGCGGTGGGCAGTGCGCAGGGAGGCGCACCCCGGGGCGCCGGCGGCCAGGAGTCGGCCGCCTGCCCCGGCGGTGCGTTCTCCCGGCGACCTCGGCTTCCTGGGCTCCCCAGCCCGGGGCGGCATTTTGACGAGCGGCCAGGCCGAGGGGAGTTTCTCCGAGCTTCAGCCGGGCCTGGCTCGCTGGAAGTGCAGGCCAGGCTTGGGGGGCGGGGGGGGGCGGTGGCGAGGATCTAATGGGTCCCAGATAAATTCTGGGCTTCAGGCGTTGGATCGGGCTCCTGGGTCGGGCGCAAGGGGTAGAAGGGCCTGGGTTGCAGGCTTAGGGGTTTGGAACACGAAAAATAACAGCTGCGGAACTGTTCAAGCCCAGAGGAGCGTGCCTCTCGCTCTGATCGCTTTCCTATCTCCTCCACGTTTCCAAGGAAGGATTTCCTCCCTCAAACCCCAGTGAGACTGGGAAGGGAGCGCCAAGGATGGCCCCCCAAAGCTTAGCAGCCGCTTCAGCCACACGCTGAGTCCCACCCAGGGCTGCGGGGGCTGGAGACCCAGAGCGGGGCCGAGGAGGACGGCATCCGAGGCCCAACTCCCAAGCAGCTTCCCTCACCACACCCTCGGGGCTCGGGAGAGGCGGTGCTGCGAGCCCCCGCAGCCGGCTTGCAACAAAAGAACCCGGGGCTGGTGTCCCCCACGTGCGCTCGCCTCCGCCGCCGGCCGCGGGGACGATCGCATCCGGCGCCCGGGTCGGGGTCGGCGGCGGCTCGGGGCTGGCGGGGGCGAGCTAGATGCAGTTTGACAGAACCAGGCCGCGCGTCCTGCAACCTCCACGCCGCTCCGGGGCCGCGCGCCTCCCCGGCTGGCTCCACGCGCCAGGAGCTCTCTGCAAGCCGGGCTCCGCAGAATCCCGGGCAGGGCTGCAGTCCCGCCGTCCGCGCCTCCCGGAGCCCCCTCGGCCGGAGCGCTCCCTCCCGAGCCTCCCGGGCCATCGGCGGGGACCGTTACCTCGCTGGGCGAAGCCGGCGCATTCACCACATCCCTTCTTGCTCCTAGCAGGGAAGCCGGCGGCGAGGCGGGGGCGCGGGCATCGTGGCTCCGGGGCTTATGCCGGGCACTGCTCGCCCAGACTAGCGGCTACCGCTGCCTCCAAAGGATCGCCCACCGCTGGGGCCTCGGCAGCGACTGCCCACCTCCAACACACACCTCCTCCGCTTTGCGCTCGCTCGCTCGCTCGCTCGCTCTCCCTAAAGACTTGCAAGTTGTCAGGCGCCAGAAGGGTTCCAAGGGACACAAGCAACAGCCTCCGGGAGCACCCTCAACGTTAACACCTCAGGACCCTGCTCCTCACTTGCACCCCTGGGGAGGGGAAGCTGGGAGATGGGAGGGAGCTGTGGGGATGGTCAAGGTCCTTTCTGGGCGCCGCTTTCAGGGTTAAAGTTCTGGAATCCGAGGAAAGAGAGTCTGTCTGTCTCTCTCTCTCTCTCAGAAATACAAGCCGACTTAGCTGAGCTCAGTGACGTTGGGCTGCCTCGATGCTTACAAAGTACTGAAATTGCTTATCCAACTAGCTCCCACTGCACACAGCCTGCCTCTGCCTCTTTCCCGCCCCCCCTCCCTCCCTCCCTCCCTCTCTCCCTCTCTCCCTCCCTCTCTCTTCTCACTCCCTCCCCCAACCACCTTTTCCATCAGATTTCCCGAACACTCAAATCACAGCACTACTCTCAAACCCAGACCTGGAGATCACCCCTCCTCTCCACCCCCTTCCCAACCTCCATCCATCTCTGCTGCTCTGAGCTCGGCTCGGTGGCTACAAAAAATCCTGCACAAATCATCGCAAAACCGGTCGGCTTCTGCCCGGGAAGTAATCTCTGGGACTCGGCCATGCAGAGAACGGAGTCTGAACGCCTTCCGCTGCACACACACGCCTCGCGCCGCCTCTGAAAGCCTGGCCCACGTTCTCCCTCCAACGCTGACCTCAAGACAGAGCCGCGTGACCCCGCCTGGCCCGGCTGGCCGCCGACGGCCGCCCTGACATCTCTCCCCCTCCCCACTCACCACCCCGACTCCCAGCAACTCCAGGGTGAAGGCAGGGTGAAGGTGCATTGGGATGGGGGCCCAGATCAAAGATGCCAAGAAACTGCCGGGGGCTCCCACCCCCAGGGCCAGCAGACCTCCCTGGCTGGAGGTATACGCCAGGCGGTACCCAGTTTTATTAAAATAATCAAACAGTCATGGGAGACTGGCTGGGATTTTCATCTCCACTGGGCCCCTCTCCCTGCCCTCCCCCTCTCTGAAGTGTATTATTTTGCGGGTTGAAGAGGTCAATAGAAGCGTAAACACAGTGAGTAGGTCTCAGCCTGAGCAGACCCAGTTTGGGGCACCAAGTATTGGTGCTTGGAATAAACGTCAGGGTTCCCTTCCGTTTCCCACCCTTGCCTCCCGTACCCCCTCACCTTATTCTTTTCTGGGGCTCTGACTAGAGACTTGGGCCTGAAGGCCAAGGTCTGGGGAGAGGGATGGAGAGAGGAGAAATGCGCTGGAGATCAGCAGCCGGCTGGGTGTAACACCCCTTGCAAAATTACAAAGCGGATCGTCCATCCCTAAAAGTGGGGTGACCAGGGGGTAAAAAGCAAGCCCAGTGTCCTCGGCTACAGTTCTCACTCCACCTTCCAGGTTTGTTTGCAAACAACCTTTCACCGCAGCAGTTTATTTGTGTGAAAACACCCTCACCCTTCCAGAATGTCAGCTCAGAGGGCTTTGGGCTTACTAAAGAGGTGACCCCGGGCCAAAGACTGGAAACAAACATGGTTTGAGGATGAGCTTGAATCTCTGCATCTCTGGCAAAAGGAAGGGGAAATCCAGAAAGACTTCTCCAATCCCTTTAAACTCTCCGAGATTTGCGGATAAAATAAATTCCCATAAATAATTTGCAGGCCCCTCCCGGGAGGGCAAATCTGAACTCCCCCAAGTAACTGCCTGGCCAGATTCACTTGGTCTTGGAGTGCAGGCTGTGCTGGACCCCAAGCGAAATTGGGATTTTGAAACCTCCAGCGGGAATCTATTCCTGCCAGGTGACACTCCGAGGCGAAATGCAGGAGAGTGCATTCTTATTTCCACCGTGAAAAACAGCATCTCTGGGAAGGGGTATTCAGCAGGGCCGAGCTGGGGTGGGGAAGCCAGGGGGCCTTTGCCAGGCCAAGTGCGGAGCAGAACCTATCCCTCCCCCATAGCTGTCCAGGGGGACACTCACCTCCAAAAATCCCACCTCTTCTTTCCAGCGCAGAAGCCAGCAGTGGTGCCTTGCGTAGGAGTGGGTGTTCAAGTGAAGAGTTTGCCAAGGGCCCCCAAAAGAGACCCCTTTAAGGCCAAGCCTTCTTCCAACGTCTGTCAAGAGTAGTATGTACCTCCCAGCTCGAGGCTGGTTTGTGGTCTTCGACAAATTAAATATTACTATTTATTACCAGGCATACCCCAATAAAATAAAGAGGCAACCAGGCGATACCGACTATCTCACCAGCCGCTGCACCTATAGGACTTGGAGACGTCACGAGTCACGCAACCGGCCCGCGCACTGTCACGCTCGACTGGGGGGCAACGGCGGGAGGTTCATTTCTGTCGGTCTTCGTCTATCAGCCCCGGGTCTGCGCAGCCCCAAGTCCCAGACGTCTCGGCCACGGGAATAAATAAAGAAATAAACAAACCCAGCGCTCTCTGGGGAAATGGGGGTGGTGAACATCAGGCACAAATAGAGCCAAGATCGATTTTCTTAGGGAGGGGGAGGGGGGCTCTTGGCGAAGGGAGGTGGGAGCCCACGTCGGCCCACGATTGGGAAGAAATCAAGTTGTTCCGGGGTGGACCGAGGTCCCTTGGAGGAGGCACGAGAGTCCTTTTATTATTTAAAAAATTACTTTTTTTCCGAGGAGGAGCTCTCCGCAAACGAATATCGAGACGCCGCTCCAGCTGGTTCTGTTTGGGACGCGATAAGTCAGCGCCGGCTTGCAGATCTGCATAGAAGTAATTACCGGGTTATCGCGCAGGGGAAATGCGACCGAGGCGTGGAAGAAAGAGAGGCGTCCGCAATGTTCTTGCTGAGAAAAAGTCCATTCTGCGAGAGCTCCTCTAGTTAGGTCTGGGGCTGCAACTCGTCCCAGTTTGGCTTGGCCGGGGCTGGGTGCGAGTGGGTGGTGGGGTGGGGGTAGAGGGGGTGATTTCTGCAGAGAGAAATTACAGCGACCGGAGCTGCACTGGGTGTGAGACGCTCTATTTTGTTTTGCAATAAGGATTGGCATTATGTTTGGTCTCACCAATGGGCATAACTTCTAAGCGCCCCGTGGCGGATGCGCTCGAGCTTTTGCGCGCATCTGGGAACGCGCCGGGTGCAGTTGCGAAAACGTACTGCGGGGGAAGAGCTAGGCCTGCCTGGGACTGAGCAAGCGAGCGCGGGGCCTTCCGCAAGGGTAAGCTCCCCGCCAAGGGGCAGAGAGGGAAGCGGTCGTCGGAATCTGGCCTTGCCCCCAGCTCCGGTGTTCCATCCCGGGTTTCACTCGCCCCTAACCCCCAGGGCTTTCCGAAGCAGGGCCTGGCTCCGGGCCCGGCCGTCTGGGGCCTGAGCGGCCGCGAAAAGTCAGGAACGCAGCCGACCGGGCAGCCCCAGGAGCCAAGGTCAGGCCCGCGGGGAGAAAGGGCAGAGGTTTCCAGCGCCAGGCGCGGGCGCCCGGGCTAGCCGGGCCTCAGACCCTGGGGCTTCCAGCAAGCAGGACCCGCGTCCCTCCGCCCGGCCAGGCCGCAGCGACTGCCCCCAATTCTCTTTCGTTTCCCAAGTTATTAACAAGGATCTCTTCTTCCCCGATCCGAGGCCCGTTGGGTGCAGCGTTGGCTCCCAGACGCCAAGACTGCAAGCCGAAATCCTTCGCCCGAGGCCTCGAGATGGGTCCCCGTTTGACCTCTGGGCCGAGGTGGGCCGGAAACGGAGGCCTGGGCCCCGCGGGCGCTGGAAGGGGAAGGCGCAACCCCGAGCGCGGCGAGTTCCTTTCCGTTTGGCTCCCTTCTCTCGCATCCCCGGCGCGGGCCCCGCCACCCCCCGGACCAGCTCGCAGAGGATTCCAAAGCCTCAGCTTCCCCTACCCGCTGTTCCGGACGCTCCGGAGGAGGCCAGACCACGGGCCGAGTAAATTAAAGACCTCCACCAGTGTTGAGCATCTCCATTCTTTCCCCCCAGTCATTGAGCAGTAAGCTCCAGAGCGAGGCGGCAACACGCGGCCTCCCCTCCTTCTCCGGGTGGATCGCCGCTTTCCGCGACCCGCTCCCAGCTGCGTTTGCGACCCCCCCCCCCCACGCATTTTCCTCATTGTGCAAAATTCCGGCCCTGATTTTAATATCGCCGTGGGTAGAAGAACAGAGGTTCCCACTTAAAAAGTCCAAAAACAAAACCAGGCAAAAGCAAGTGGAGACCACTGTTGATCTTCACTCCTGCCTCTGTTTTTGAAAAAGTCGAGTCCCAAACCACCTTCTTTCTTTCCTCCCTAAAAAAGAACTGGCTTAAGAAGACACTCTCTTTTCCGTTTCTTCTCCAATGCATCCCTGCCTGACTCGGGTCTCTCCTGGAGGCCAACAAGTAGGGCGAAGAGCAGAAGGGCCTGGGAAAATGAATAAGAATTATAACAAAAGATATGACCAAACTTGGACCGACTCTTTTTGCAAAAGAGGGAGTCAGACTAAGAGAGAGAAATTCCCTCGTTTCTCAGGGGGTCACTTCCCCTCCTGCCTAGTTAAATCTGGCTCTGTTATTTTTTTTTTTTTTTCCAGGACGGTGGTATCTCCCTTCCCAATTTTATAATAAAACTTCTGAGTTTTATTCCATTCCTAGTTTCTTCCCTTCGGACTGGAAGCATCTGCGAAGAATACTGGCTATTGCTATTATTGTAATATCCAATATTCTCCTCCAGTATTTTCACCGAAAATTATTATTGCTACTGTTCTCCTTCACATTGGTGCTCTTCCCTGTGCTTTGGAAACATTCCTCCCCACTCCCCCAAGTTTGGCAGATGAGGTACCCCCGCTCCATCAGGGTGATAAAATGAGAAATGGAAGTGGGAGCATCATTCTAGAAGCCCAGCTGAGATCTCAAGGCTAGAGCTTTGCAAACGCCCAAAGAGCAGAGAAGGTGGTAAGGCTCAGGATGCAAAGGAACATCTCTGTTTTTGCCTCTCCAATTTAGAGAGTCCTCCGTGGAGGAGAAGGGTGAGGGTCTTGAACTGAGAGGGAACCTGGAGCCACCTCCTACCCCATGGGCTGCACTGAGCCTGAGCGCTCCAACCTTATCTGCAGCCCAGAACCCACAGAAAGGCCTCCCGTGTAGTCAGCCTGTCCCCAGAGCCCCCAAAAGATGTGGGGAAAATATACTGAATTCCAGGGCTCTGACCCAGTACAATAGAGACCCGGGCTAATACCTCCAGGTCTGGCGGAGAGCCTGTCTGGGTACCCCCTCCCTCAACTGGAGGGTGCAGTGGAAATTTGGGAACCCACTGCTCTCCGGGACTCTGGAAAGACAAATTTTCTTTGGCAAAGGGAACGG